AAACTAGGCAGTATTGGCGCGGGAGAACGATATTTTAACAACACTAACTGAAATAGTCAATAAAAAAATATTAAATGACAATCGACGTGATATTAATTTCTAGTATCTTATACATTTTATTTAGTGAAATATAGTTTGAACATTTGAAAATAATAATATTAAACAAAATCGATATTGAATATATATAAAATATTTATGTGTTGAATATAATCTATTTTACTGATTTTTTTTATCTTTGTTTGTATTTTTTGCAAATTCTTTAAGAATATACCCGTAGTATGCATTCTTCCATCATCAGGGATTGGTTTTCAAACAATTCAGAGCATGAATTTTCTAGAGATAGTCCAAGCTCTAGATCAATTGTCTCAAGTTTTGTGTTTATAACACTCAGACTATTTGCCAATTTTATCAATCAAATCCATTATATTATCGAAAATATAGTTAACCTATAAAACAATTACTGTTTCGTTATTTTTTGAATATATATTATGTGATACAAATAAACAACATCATCTTCACAACTTTTCATGAACTCACATCTCAAATGTCATAATTATATAGAGTATCAAATATATATATATCAAAATAATTTTTTTAATTAAGATCATACATTGTAGTCCTTAGATAAAAAAAATTGTTTGATATATGCTCTTTTCTTCTCCACTGTCTGTTTGTCTTCATCAATTGCATTGTTTTCGGTGTATATGTNCATTCTCACTTGTTTCCTCATTACGTTGTTTGGATGGATTTCTTCTTCGATTTCAATCTCACCGCCGTATTATTTTTCTGATTCATAATCTTCATCTTTTGTATCGTATGTTTTTTTTTCTCTTATCTTCGTCATCTCTTTTTGTATTTTGCACTCGTCATCATCATGAACATTCCGATATTTAAGTTTCCAATATATTAAAGTCGAAATAAAAAATATGGAAAACATTAAAAATATTAAAAATATTGCAAGAAAATTTTTTTATTTATATATATGAACCTTTTTTTTAATCACGAACGCACTTCAATAACACTGATCAGACAAATACCTTTATATATACGAACATAAGAGTAAATAATCCATTTTTGATGAACATAGATCGATGAGAATAAGAGTAAAAAAATATTAGGTTTTGTATTTTGGGAAAAAACTAATCAAATACATGGATCTTTTACCAAGATATGAGAGATTTTCTACAGCAAATTCGGCCAAATTCTATGATATAACATCCAAGAAAAACGTAATAAATGCGAAAGAAATAAAAAAAGATTTAAGAGAAGAGTACCTAAATTCATTACGTAGAACATGAGTAAATTCTTTCTTTGTGTTGAAGGTCTGCATCTATAAGAATAGAGACAATACATGACACAGTTAAAGAAATTAAGAGTTGCCGTTTTCACATAAATATTTACTAAGATATTAGAAAAGTGGATTTTTTTTAATAATTCGATTCTATTAATTAAAAACAGTGCACAACGAATCATGTAAACAAAAACAACAATAGTATCCTATAATTACATGAGAACAAAAATAATAATATAATATACATGTATAATTAAGACG